AACTATGGACAGAGGTTTGTGACATTGTACGGGAGACAGGGATCAAGACCATCCTGAAGAAAAAGAAATGCAAAAAGGCAAAATGGTTGTCTGATGAGGCCTTACAAATAGCTGAGAAAAGAAGAGAAGCTAAAGGCAAAGGAGAAAAAGGAAGACATACCCATTTGAATGCAGAGCTCCAAAGAATAGCAAGGAGAGATAAGAAAGTCTTCCTTGGTGATCAATGGAAAGAAATAGAGGAAATCAACAGAATGGAAAAGACTAGAGATCTCTTCAAGAAAATTAGAGATACCAAGGGAACATTTCAAGCAAAGATGGGCACAATAAAGGACAGAAATGCTATGGGCCTAATAGAAGCAGAAAATATTAAGAAGAGGTGGCAAGAATACACAGAAGAACTATACAAAAAAGATCTTCATGACCCAGATAACCACGATGGTGTGATCACTCACCTAGAGCCCGACATCCTGGAATGCGAAGACATTCCAGGGCCTTAGGAAGCATCTCTACAAACAAAGCTAGTGGAGGTGGTGGAATTCCAGTTGAGCTATTTCAAATCCTAAAAGATGATGCTGTGAAAGTGCTGTACTAAAAATGCCAGCAAATTTGTAAAACTCAGCAGTGGCCACGGGACTGGAAAAGTCAGTTTTCCTTCCAGTCCCAAAGAAAGGCAATGCCAAAGAATGTTCACTACTACCACACAATTACACTCATCTCACATGCTAGCAAAGTAATACTCGAAATTCTCCAAGCCAGGCTTCAACAGCATGTGAACTGTGAACTTCCAGATATTCGAGCTGCATATAGAAAAGGCAGAGGAACCAGAGACCAAATTGCCAACATCCGCTGGATCATCGAAAAAGCAAGGAGTTCCAGAAAAGCATCTATTTCTGCTTATTGACTATGCCAAAGGCTTTGACTGTGTGAATCACAATAAACTGTGGAAACTTCTGAAAGAAATGGCAATACCAGACCATCTGACCTGCCTCTTGAGAAGTCTGTATGTAGGTCAGGAAGCAACAGTTAGAACTGGACATGGAACAACAGACTGGTTCCAAATAGGAAAAGGAGTACATCAAGGATGTATATTATCACCCTGCTTATTTAACTTATATGCAGAGTACACCATGAGAAACGCTGGGCTGGAAGAAGTACAAGCTGGAATCAAGATTGCCGGGAGAAATATCAATAACCTCAGATATGCAGATGACACCACCCTTATGGCAGAAAGTGAAGAAGAACTAAAGAGCCTCTTGATGAAAATGAAAGAGGAGAGTGAAAATGTTGGCTTAAAATCAACATTCAGAAAACTAAGATCATGGCATCCGGTCCCTTCACTTCATGGCAAATAGATGGGGAAATAATGGAAACAGTGAGAGACTTTATTTTTGGGGGGTCCAAAATCACTGCAAATGGTAGCCATGAAATAAAAGACGCTTGTTGCTTGGAAGAAAATCTATGACCAACCTAGACAGCATATTAAAAGCAAAGATATTATTTTGCCAACAAATGTCCGTCTAGTCAAAGCTATGGTTTTTCCACCAGTCATGTATGGACGTGAGAGGTGGACTATAAAGAAAGCTGAGTGCTAGAGAATTGATGTTTTTGAACTGTGATGTTGGAGAAGACTCTTGAGAATCCCTTGGACTGCAAGGAGATCCAACCAGTACATCCTAAAAGAAATCATTCCTGAATATTCATTGGAAGGACTGATGCTGAAGGTGATACTCTGATACTTTGGCCACCTGATTCAAAGAACTGACACATTGGAAAAGACCCAGATGCTGGGAAAGATTGAGGGCAGGAGCAGAAATGGACCACAGAGAATGAGATGGTTGGATGGCATCACCGACACGATGGACATGAATTTGTGTAGAGCTGGTGATGGACAGGGTAGCCTGGCGTGCTGCAGTCCATGGGGTCACAAAGTGTTAGACATGATTGAGCAACTGAACTGAACTGAACTGTAATTAGATGAACCTGTGTTCTTATAGCACTTCAATTTTTATACTTTATGTATATCACACATTCTACGGACAAGTTTTGTTTGCATGCCAGCATCCCCATCAGTGTGCAAGTTCATAAAGAGCAAGGATACTGTTTTATTCTCTTTGTGTCTCAGACACAAACATGATCCCTGGCAAAAAATTCTGGATCTAAATGGAAACAACTTTGCTTCTACGAACCTAACCATATACAAAGTTGTGCATTATACAAAATATTCCTGCCAAGTGTCTTTTTCTATTTAGTAGCCTCTTTTTCCACGGGGTTCATGGCAAAGTCTGCCTTGATTGAAGTCTATTGTTTTGATACTCCATCCAACAACAGTAATACAGGCATCTTCCATAATCATTAAAAATATGTCCATCCCTTTCCCAAAGACTTTTAGTGTGTTGTTTCTTATTTATTTATTTATTTGTCTGTGTTGCACCTTGGTTGTGATGCATGGGCTTCTCTAGTAGTGGCTTGTGAGCTCCAGAGTGCTCAGACTCAGGAGTTGTGACACACAGGCTTAGTTGCCCTGTGGCTTGAGAGATCTTAGTTCTGGGACCAGTGGTCAAACCACATCCCCCAAACTGGAAGGCTGCTTCTTAGACACCGGATCACCAAGGAAATCCCTATTGTGTTATTTCTAAGGCTAAATTTCTTTTCATGTGTTATATGAGCCAATCCTCTCAAGAACCCTAAAAGATATGTATTGGTGCCGTTTTACTAGAATAGAAGCTGAGCCAGGTTAAGTTTCTCAGGCTCATAAGTTAGTAAATGTTGGAAGCTGGGATTTGCCCTTGTAACTGTCCAACTCCAAAATCTATACCTTTTCCAATTCACCTAACTATCTCCATTCTATCACTTGATGGCCATTTATGCATTCTAAGGAAAATAGTCCAACTGTAGCATCCTTTTCAGGTCACTATAAAATTGTCTCTTTTTGTGGCTTTGTCAGTAGAAGCATAATTGGAACAAAGACTGAAGGACAGAACTAAGGGAAAGGGCAGCATTAGTTCGAGAGGATCCAATTTGTCATGACAGCTCCCACACCTAAAATTTCTCCCCATTGTCTTTTATTTGTTCATAAAATATTTAGTGGGCACCTACTAAGTCTCAGAGGCTATCCATTACCTTGTGGATACAGCAGCAAGAAAAACAAACACCTGTCCGTATGATGTTTACCTTATAGAAAGGTGATGGGAAGTAAAAATAGAGAAATTTTTGTGTGATAATTGTGCATGGGGAAAATGGGGCAAGTCAAGAAGTTTGGCAGCATCTTCCTTGTAAAGTCCAAACTTCATGGTATGGTTTAAATCAGGGCAGGTCAAGAAGTTTGGCAGCATCTTCCTTATAAGGCCCAAACTTCTTGATGTGGTTTACAGCAGCCTTCACCATGTGGTCATTGTCTGTTGAATACCAATCCAGTCATCACAATCAGCATTCTGTTCTAACAAGGTTTCTTCTATCTCATACCAGCAGATGCACTAATTGCTATTCAGCCTTCAAGGTAATGGACACCTCATATCTCTCATGGTGTCTGAAATCCTTCTCTGACACCCTCAGGCTCCTGTTTGTATACAAGAGCATGCTAAACTATAGCACTTCTCACATGTTTTGTTTGCAAGTTTCCACTTTCAATGTCTGTCTTTTTCAAATATACAACAAACTCACAGATAGCAAGAAGCATGCTGCTTCACCTTGAACCTGCTTAATATTTAGCCTAACAGAGAAGAAACATTCAACAAATGCTATATGAAAGATGTGAATAGATGCTTAGATGAAACAAGGCATTTTAGGTACACAAGATTGTCAATTTTGACATCAAGAATTAAAATTAGAATAATGTATATGTGAGCTTTGAAGACTTGTAAACTACGTACAAAAGTTAACAGGATTATTTGTAAAGTTTATCTTTTTATAAAACACAACTTGAACAAATTATCAAGATGAAATAGCTAAAAAACATAGTTCTGTGTTGACACAGACTAGTACACTTAAGATATTACTTTAAAAAAAATGATGCTGCACTTTAATATTTTTGATATATTTTTTAATTTTTTATATTTTTATTGCAAGTTGCCAACTACTTATAATGACATTCATTTGCAGTACTTTGATATTATTTAAACTTTCACTTTTGTAGAAGAACATAGTATCTCTAAGTATCATAGGCCTTATAATCAGTCTCTGATAGAACCAAGAATATAACAGGCATCTCTCAGTATGTATTCATCACACTATGTGAAATATTTGCCATACACTCATGGCAACTTAAAAAAAAAAGTGGGTATCATCTTACAAAGTAAATTCTATGCTATTTTAATTATCAAGAGTCTACTTTGATTTTCAAAGGTAAAATGTAGCATCAATGGATTTAGTAATAACACTGCCCTATGATTTTGAATATTAAAGGTGCTGATCACAATTCTTTGTTTATCAATCAATACTAACATCAAGTTAAATTTGATCATGAAAATGCAATCTTTGCTCAAAAAATTAAAACACTATCTTGGCCATGAGTTTTGATTTACATTTCAAATGTAAAACTTCAAGTAAATAGGTAACATCATTTGCCTAAAAAGTCATTGAAGTTATAAACCATTATAATGTAAAAAAATCAAAACATAAAACATGCAGGCAGGAAACCTAATAATCACTGAATTTATATTTTAATAGTTTGTCTCATTTTTAATGTTTTGAATGTATAAGTGACGGAATGTATTTTTCCAGTCAACACTCTTATGGCCCCTTTGGATGGTGTTGGAGAGGGCTTCCCCTGAAAGCCTGATTTTGAGGGACACATGATCTTTCCCAGGAACACGTGCAGACATTTTGGCAGTTGGTGTGGAGGATGAGACACTTTTAAAAGTGGTAGAAGATATCTTTTTCTGGCCAGAAGAGTGCTCACTGTGGTCTGAGTTTAGAGAAGCTTCAATACAAATATCTTCAGCAATACATACATTAATAGTATGAATCTTTTTTATATTTCTTTTCTTACAGCGGATATTGGCATAACAACTGCAATAAAATTTTTTAGAAAATTGTAGCAGGTCTTCAAGTGTGGGTTTCCCATGTACGGTGTATTTTCCACCTTTCCCTCTTTGAATAGCAAAATTCATTGGGTTCAGATGAAGATAGTCGGGTGAATTCCAGTCTTTCCTTGTACACACTCCTTTCTCCTGGCAAAACACTTGGCTACACATTTTGGCTGCTAGAGTGACGTTGATAATATAAGGATTCAGTATAGTGTTCAAGTAATTGCCTAGGTTCATGCAAGATTGCTGTAAAATCGCAAGAAGATCAGATTATTAAGATCCAAGTGAGTTCAGATGTGAATTAATTCACTATGTTAAGCAATTTCTTTCATGGAATTCTCCAGGCAAGAATATTGGAGTGGGTTGCCATTTCCTCCTCCAGGGGATCTTCCCAACCCAGAAACTGAACCCAGGTCTCCTGCATTACAGGCAAATTCTCTACCATCTGAGCCACCAGGGGAGGCCAAACATTTCTAAAGAAGCACACACATTAAACCAGACTCAGTAAGAGTAGGAAATGTTTTTATCTTTCTTGCCTTTAATAAGCAAGACAATTCTAACTGTTATTTGTAACATTTGTAAGTTTCACATGCTATTTCATGTCACGAAATAATTAACCAGTTGAAGTTTAATATACCCAGCCTTGGGCTTCCTCAGTAATTCCTACACTAACAGGGGTGGAAGAGGCAGAATATACAGTGTGGGTGGAGGGAATAGAGCATGGGGTCTGGAATCCTTCTGCCCAGTTTGGAGTCACAGATCCATGAATAGCTAGCTGTGTGAGCTTGGGAATTCCTTAAGCTTTCTTAGATTCCTTTCTGGGTGACCTTGTAGAAAGTAATTAAGCTGGCTATGATTCAGGTTCATCACTGCAAAATACAGATAATTATAGCACTTACCTCAGAGTTATTGTGAAGATGAAAGGATGCAATGTATGTAAAGAGCTAAGCACAGAGCTCAGGACATCATAGTTAAAAGCTTTTTGAAGATAATGCGTTAGGAGAAAAGTAATACAATTCATACTATATAGAACAAAATAAACATTTTTCCTAATAAAACATATTTTACTGAAGATTTCACTTAAAATAGACTCTATTAAATATAATCTGTGGAAAATAAAGAAGGATTCCTTTTTCTCCCCCTTAGGGAAGCTTTGAACAATTTAGTAAAATTTTCAGAAACTAACTCCTATCTGCCTCCCACTAGTTGTTGGCCCGTGAAATAAACTGTCATTTAATGACTAAATAAATAAATAAGTGCTCAATAAACAGTAACTGAATGAATGAAAGAATGAAGGAATGCATATGGGCTAGTTGAGCTCTTCTGAGAAACAACACAATATGATATAGTAGAAAAAACACCAAAGACCACATAAGGAAACTAAGAAGTATAGTCCTGTTTTTGCTACTTCTTAGTCATGTAGCCTAGGCAATTTCAATTAATCTCATCAAACTTCTGTTTCCTCAGTGGAAAACAGCCTTACAATACAACCACACAAATGATAGTTTGATTTAGCCACTGTTAACTTAGCACCTACTACTTTGTGCCAAAGATCATGTTTATTTTATTATTCAATCCCACAGAAACCTTAAAAAACATTAAAAGCAAAAATATTTTCATCTATTTCCTACCATTTCAACTTACCCTAGTTCTGCTTAAGTTGAAACTTCCCCACATTATAATTCCAGAAGCACCTAGAGCAATGCTCTCACCAATTGTATTCACAAGGTCATCCTGGCAAAGGTGAAGAGTTAACAGGGAAGAGTAAAATGAAGTGTTGTAAATTGGACAGTAACACCAAAGCCAAGAATGCTGACCCTACAAAAATTATGTAAATATTTCTCCACTATTCATTTCCATCTTTTAAGCCACCACTGCCCTACTATAACAAAAATTCAGATTTTCTGCTATTATTTTAATTACTTCTATTGACAAGAGAGCGGGTCTGTAAAAGAAAAAAAAGAACTGAATTAATACATTATCTATATTATGAAATCCTCCATGGTTGCTAAGACATTATATGATTACATTAAAATGAAATATAGTCTTATTTATTTTACATCCATATAATGAGGCAGAACTACCTGAGTGCATACTCCTAAAGGTTGAAAAGTGAAAGTGAAAATGTTAATGGCTTAGTTGTGTCTGACTCTTTGAAACCTCATGGGCAGAGCAGCCTGGCAGGCTACAGTCCATGGGATTCTCCAGGCAAGAATACTTAAGCAGATTGCCATTCCCTTCTCCAGGGGACCTTCCCGACTCAGGGATCAAACCTGAGTCTCCTGCATTGCAGGCAGATTCTTTACTCTCTGAGCCACCAGGGGAGCTGAAAGGTGATTAACCCTAAATTTCACTCCTTTCAGAAATGATGTTCAATTCCACTAAATGCCACGAAATGCCGACAATATTCCATAGCCTTCTCTCCTTTCTTTTCTTACCTGAGAAAGGAATTTCGAAGACATATCGGTAAAAACTGGACGGACGTATACAAAAACTGGAAGTGGACTTTCAACACTGGCAATTTTAGACATCCGAATGGCTTCCTGAACACGGTTACGAACAAAGAGGACAGCTTGTGGAGAAGATTTTAGCTTGGTATTCAAATAAATAGAGGGGTAAAGGGCAGTGCTTTCCTTCCACAACCAGTCGAGTCCATCATTTCTTCTTTTCTCTACATCAAAGCAACTTCCATTGTAACTAGGTTGGTTATATTGATGATTGTAACAATCAGGAAAAAGATAATAACCCCATAAGCGGTTTGGCCGAAGTAACTTTCCCAATTTTAAAGTCTCTTGCATGAAGCTCTTTGCTGCCTTTTCAAAATCCGCTTTCGCTATCTTGGTAGCCTCTTCAAAAGTAAGTTGTAGATTTTGCTGCAGAACGAACTCAATAGACTCATCCTGGTAAACATCTTTAGGTTTCCAGTTTCTTACCCAGGTAGGCCTCCAGTTTTCCCAGTCAATGACTGCCAAGCCCACGTTGTTGGTCGGCATGTAATAGGCAATGTCTTTTTCAGCTTTGTCCAAATGTTTTTTTAAGGAACCCGTCTGAGGGATTCCACCATTCTTACAGGCACCTGTTCTTTCATCTATGTGAGGATAGTAGCCAAGCCTATCAGCATAAAATAATGTAATAAGTTGTCCTGTAACATCTTTTTGGGGATTTCCTACTAAGGAGAAGAGGCTCAGATCTGGAGACATGTCAAATACTTTACCACAATGGTCAGTTGGGGCATTCCAGGCCCACAGGAAGGGAATATTTGGAATAAGAGGGGGTGCTGTAAAGTCCAAAGCCAAACAACATGGAACAAGAAGGAAGGTGAACACTGCCTGGGGTGCTCCATTGGACCCAACAAAGTTCCTAAAAGAGATATACTGGTGCCTTAGCATTTCCACCGCAAGGAGTAATGATTTGAAAAGCACTTTTATTCTCCTACACACTTTGGTTTGTCTAATATCTGATGTAGGATATAAACACAGAAGAGAAAGTGTGGAACGAAGCCACTTTGACAGATAAAAATGTATAATGATGATATGTATTTAAATATTATTCTTCTTGCTTCTTGTTTTAGCAATGTTTTGCAAGTTGCTTCATCTGTAACTGAAAAAAGAAAAAAGAAATGTAGAATATATTGTTATACTCATTTCTGCATAAGAGACTGTAAGCTTTACCAAGTTCTCAACTTCAAACTCAGGAAGTTTAAGTCAATGTTTGAAAATGGAGCACTTCTGTGTTTGAATCCATAAAATTATTTTCTCTTATGCATGATACAAAACCTATAATAGCTAACAATTTTCTTGTCCTTCCAATCATTATTGAATCTACAGAGAAGTGAATGAAGCTATTTTTCCTTGTGCTTTCCTAGTTGTGAAGAATGGTGTATCAAGCAATGCCTTAGCAAAAGACTGTTAAGTAAAAATAAACTCCAAGTTGAATCTCTTAAGCTTGTTTGTTATTTCCTAAAAGACCTCTTTATAGTGGTCTGCCAAAAAAAGTGAAAACATCCTCAGAGAATTTTGAGTATATATATATATATATATATGCTTTTTAAGGGAGGAGGAGGCAAAAATCACTTCTGCCAGAGGTAATAACTCTAAAATTTGATTAAAACTATTAAATCAAACAAAACCTCCCACTGAGGGGTAAGTTGAAGTGCTATTTAGAATGATGCTCCATCATATGTCAAAGAAAGTGAAAGTGAAGTCCCTCAGTTGTGTCCAACTCTTTGCGACCCCTTGGACTGCAGCCTACCATGCTCTTCCATCCATGGGATTTTCCAGGCAAGAGTACTGGAGTGAGTTGTCATTTCCTTCTCCAGGGGATCTTCCTGACAAAGGGATCAAACCCAGGTCCCCTGCATTGCAGGCAGACACTTTACCATCTGAGCCACCAGGAAAGCTCACTCTACTATATGTCAAAGTAATGTCCAATCATGTTTACAGTTGATAAAATATCTTATCATTTTATATCATCCACTGGAACGATTGGTTCTGGTTTTGCTTAATAAAAGCAATATATGAACTTTATTCTTTTATAGCCTTTGATAATTGAGATTTTAGTGTCATTCTTATTGTCATAGTATGAAATGTTAGGGTATATTTTGTGGTAAAAGAAAATAGTCAAGGATAAGAAATTAAGCTATGTGTTAACACTTGGTATCTGCAAAAATTACCTATAAGAAGGCATATTTAAATATGTTACATTTCTAGGAGGAAACTATAGAATGTCTATTTTAACTAGATTAGTAGCATGAAAAGTGAAAATGAAGTCACTCAGTTATGTCCAACTCTTTGTGACCCCATGGACTGTAGCCTACCAGGCTCCTCCGACTATGGGATTCTCCAGGCAAGAATACTGGAGTGGGTTGCCATTTCCCCCTCCAGGGGATCTTCCCAACCCAGGGATCGAACCTGGGTCTCCCACATTGGAGGCAGATGCTTTAACCTCTGAGCCACCTGGGAAGCTGATTAGTAGCATACTGCTATATAAAGGTGCAATGAGAATTGTACCATTTTTTCCCCCAAACATGTGACCTTACCATAGCAAATTATCCCCATTGCTATAAAAGGAATTACTCTAAAGAGGACATCACAAACAGAATAAATAAAATCCTAGGAATTGTTATAGTCTCATTCTTTGAAGATAATGGACTTTTTCCCCTTAATGTTTAGAACATGTAAAGGACCTAAAGATTTTTACAATTAAAGCCCTTGTAAACTTCCTTATTTAGGACCTAGAAAATCTTCATCTAAAATAATGGTGGAGGAAAAACTAATTCCTTTCAACTACTGATTACCAACACAAGTGCCTGAATGGTAGCTAACAAAACAAGTACATGGAATAAAGAAAGGATTGGATGTCCCTATATCTCAGTGGAGTAAATTAAGCTTATTGATATAATTAACATTCAAACTTAATTTCCACAAGATCATTTTATATAAGGAAAACATGGGACAGAATGAGCCTGTTAGGAAAAATTCTACCCACAGAAATTGTCAAAAAAGAATGGACATTTGTATCTTCCTTATGAAGAAATAATCAAAGAGAGCAGTTTGTTAAAGAAAAAAAAAAAGAATAGACATTTCTATCCTTGAAAATTGTGAATCTAAAATTTAAAAAGTAATAAAGTTGTTGACATTTAAAGAAGGCTGGGTACTCTGCTGGGTTTAACATGCCCCCCCAACCCAAATACACTTCCACCTCAAACCTCAGAATGTGACCTTACTAGGAAATAGAATCTTTGCAGATAAAAATAGTTAAGGATATTAAGATGATATCATCTTGGATTTAGAGTTGGACCTAAATCCAGTGACTGGTACTTAAATAAGAAGAAGAGAGGACACAAAGATAGATAGATACACGGAAGAAGGCTGTGTGACTATGGAGACTGAAGTAATGCAGTGTGGACCAAGGAATGCCAAGGATTTCCAGGAGCCAACAGAAGCTAAGAAAAACCAAGGAAAGGCTATTTTCTGGAATTTTGAGAGGAAAAATGGCCCTTCTGACACCTTGATTTAGAACTGCTATCCTTCAGCACAGTGAGATAATAAATTTCTATTGATGTAAGCCACCAATCCCTTAGCAATTCATTACGGTAGCCCTAGGAATCTCATTCTAATCACCAAATGTGAAGAATGGATTGTAGTTTCTACAAATCTGTTTTCTCAAACTGGTTTCAAGAGAAAGATTAGTATACTGATATGTATCATGAAGTAACTCATTTACCCAAACTGACCTAAAAACAACAAACCAGTGACAGAGCCAGAACCTGCATCTTTCAGACTCATTCTGTGGAATAAAACCTTCTTGAAGTCTTCAGAGTTTAAGGGGAAAAGGAGAATTCCTTCATCCTTTGGGCCACCTGATGATTGTCAACATAACCTCCTCAAATGTCACTGTTTCACACAAAGCAAGACAACTGGTATCTGTGTGAGCCAAGGTAATGATCAGAATCCAAAGCACATGAGGCCAGGAAGACAATTTGAATGCAGGTTTGAGTCCCAGAGGTGAGAAGAGTTCTAGAGAAATTTAATGTCTCTGGGCAAATAGACAGATAGTTGAGAGACTAGGGTGTTAATATATAAGTGAGAGAAAATAAAGGAGGCAGAGAGAAACAGTTTTAGGTCTAAAGTACAAAGGCAATATCCCAAAATCACAGATCATAGATTTGTAGTCAAAGACTTAAATGAATCCCACCTAAACTGTTAGCAGAATCTTAGGGATACTCAACATTCATTTCTGAGGCCCAGTTAGAAGAACCTGCATAATCCCAGAGCAATATGAATAGGAAAGGTACATTTGGGCTGGCTGAGGTTTTAATTGTCCCAAATACCTCTCAATATACTTGGGGCCTTATTACCAAAAGATAATAATAAAATCAGCCAATCATGCATGCAACATTCACTGAACCCCATAGTATGCCAGGTACTTTGGCAAGCAGTAGTAACAAAGAAGAGGGTTGAGGGGAAGGAGAGGGAAGAGGAAAAGAAAAAGAAGGAAGATGAGATGAAGAGAAAGATGATAGCACACACTTGCTGACAGGTATTAGAAATGCAGAAATTGATGGCCAGATGTGAAGGGCACAATACCAAAGACCTCTGGGTAGTTGAGCTATGGCTCCACACAGAGAAGAATGCTCAAGCTGGACAAACCAAAGTAGGAGTGGGGGCTGGGAATGGAAGCAGTGATTAGACACAGAGGAGTAGTGTTTAGAGCAATATATTCAATAATCCAGTAGGGAGAAAGAAAGACAATGTTGGCAATGAGGAGGCTCAGATATCATACCCAGGATTTCTGATTGTAGCCCTTAGGCAAGTGACAGAATAAGTGAAAACGCAAGATGTGTGGAACTATGGCCAAGGTCAAAGGTCATATCCTGTTCTAAATGAACATCTGCTATTTGGCTTGAGTTGTTTGGAATGGTGCCAAATCCTTCAAGTTTTAATATGAAAAAATTTTTTAATATGGAAATAATTTTACATAAGGACAAATGTCTTATGTATAAATGTTGGTAGTGTTCAAACATTGTGGCAGGGGCAGCATAAAATATATCAGCTAACAGAGCTTTGGGTTGTCTATCAGGGATCTTTGCTCCAAAATAGTGTTTTGTTAGGGTAGTGACATGATCAGATTTGTTTCATAGCAATTATTATAACCATGCTATACCCAACTAGAGAGAGGCATGATAAAAGGAGTAGAAATGAGTTAGAGAGTAGAAGAGTGATAGGGGGATTTCCCTGGTGGTCCAGTGGTTAAGATGCCACACTTCAAATGCAGGAGGTGAGGGTTCAGTCCCTAGTCAGGGAGCTAAAATCCCACACGCCTCATGGCCAAAACATAAAACAGAAGAAACATGGTAACAAATTCAATAAACACTTTAAAAATGGCCCACATCAAAAAAAAATATTTTAAATTTTACATTAAAAATCAGAAGAGTGATAAGGATGGGAAAAGAACAAGACTTAACAGCCATTGGTCACCAATTGCATTTGGAAGATTAAGGAAGCTGGTAACTTG